CTCCAGGGGGGCCCCCAGCTGTACCCTGGGTTGGGGGGTGGTGATACTGCTGCGGGTGGGGCCCCCCCTGTGTATTGCTGCTGCTGCTGCAGCAGCAGCAGCAGCAGCAACAGCAGCAGCAGCAGCAGCAGCAGCAGCAAAGTTCTTTTTTTATTTTTTGCTGCATGCAGCAGAATACACTTCAGTTGCAGCAGCAGCATACCCTGGGGTTTGGGGGCCCCCTGCGTTTGTCTGTCTCCTTGGGGGCCCCCTAGGGGGCCTTTGTCTCTTCTCTGTTTTTTTTTTCTTTTTTTTCTTTCTCTCTTTGTATTTATCTCTTTTTATTTAGTTGGGCGCAAGTAGAGAGCAGCGCAGCAGCAGCAGCACAGGCAGCAGCAGCAGCAGCAGCAGCAGTATTGTATATAAGCAGCTGCAGCAACAGCAACAGCAGCAACAGCAGAAACAGCAAGAACAGCAGCAGCAGCAGCAGGACGAGAGATAGCAGGAGCGGTGGCAGCAGTAAGAGCAGCAGCAGCGCGCCCATCAGCAGCAGCAGCAACAACACCAACAGCAACAACAACTGCAGCAGCAGCAGCAGCAGCAGCAGCAGCACCAGCAGCAATGCCAATGACGGCTGCGCTCCTGCGTCGGGAGGCGCCGCTCCTTCAGCAGCCTCCTTCTGTATGCTGCTGCCCCCCATCATCATCAGCTACCCAGCAGCAGCAGCAGCAGCAGCAGCAGCAACAGCAGCAGCAGCAGCAGCAGCAGCATGGGCCCCCCGGGGCCCCACAGCTAGAGGCCCAGCGTGCTGCAGCTGTTGCTGTCTCCTTGGGGATCGCCCAATCCCTGCGAGCAGCCCTCGCCCCCACAGAGCAGCAGCTGTCTCCTCTCTTTATGCAGGGGGTCCCGGGGGGCCCCCCTGGGGGCCCCCATGGGGGCCCCCCTGGGGGGCCCCTAGGGGGCCCCCTTGGGGGCCCCTTAGGCGGCTGGAAGGAACAGCTTAAGACCCCCTGCGACTTGAGCAGCAGCAGCAGCAGCAGCAGCAGCAGCAGCAATCAGGTTTCTGGTGCTGCTGCAGTTGCTGCTGGTGGTTCTGCAGCAGCAGCAGCAGGAGGAAGCAGCTGCAGCTCAGGTGTATCTTCTTTGGGTTGTTTATATGATGGAGATATAGATGCAGCAGCAGCAGCAGGTTGCTGCTGCTGGTGCTGCTGCTGCTTTCCTCGACTGTCTGTGCCCGCGGTGTCTCCCCAAACCATCTCTCTTCTCTTTCGCATGCAGCGCCACAACTACCAGATTGCAGGTAACGCATGCAGCAGCAGCAGCAGCAGCAGCAGCAGCAGCGGGAACAGCAGCAGCAGCAGCAGCAGGAACGCAGCAGCTGCAAACGAAGCGGCAGCAGTACTAGTGGAAGCAGCAGCAGCAGCAGCAGCAGCAGCAGCAGCAGTTTTAGTAATAGTAGACGCAGCAGCAGCAGCCGAAACAGCAGCAGCATCAGCAGCAGCAGCAGCAGCAGCAGCAGGAACAGCAGCAGCATCAGCAGCAGCAATGCATGCAGGGAGTATGTCTCACTGTCTCCTTTTGTCTCATTTTGTCTCCTTTTGTCTCCTTTAGGGGTTCGTTGGTTGTGTGGGGTGCTGCACCCTGGGGTCGATCCCTCAGCTGCTGCTGCTGCTGCTGCAGCAGCAGTTCTTGCTGATGAACCGGGAATGGCAAGTCCTTGCTGCTGCTGCTGCTGCTGCTGTTGCTGCTGCTGCTGTCGCTGCGTCTGGTGCCGCTAGTGCTGTGCTGCTGTTGTTGCTGCTGTTGCTGTTGTTGCTGCTGTTGCTGCTGTTGCTGCTGCAGTTGCTGCTGTTGCTGTCGCTGCCCTTCGTTTTCGTGCTGCGCTGCAACAACAGCTGTAACTGCAGCAAGAGTAGCAGCAACTGCAGCAGCAGCAGCAGCAGCAACTGTTTTTGTTTTTTTGCTAATTCCTACTGGACATGGCCTTCTCCCTTCTGCTCTGCCGCTGCATTGCTGCTGCTGTTGCTGCTGCTGCTGCTGCTGCTGCTGCCGCTGCTGCTGCTGCTGCTGTTGCTGCTGCTGCTGCTGCTGCTGCTGCTGCAGGGTCGAACGACTCAGACACTGATGGCTCTGTCTTTGGGTTACCAGCTGGGGGCCTTCACCGCCCCTTCTCTGGTTGTGGTGTCTGGGGGCCCCTGCAGCGACTACAGCAGCAGCAGCAGCAGCAGCAGCAGCAGCAGCAGCAGCAGCAGCAGCAGCAGCAGAACAGCAGACTTGCTGCAGATGCGGCGGTGGGTGCAGCTCGCCAAGGAGTGGGCCCCCTGTCTTAAGGTGAGGCCCCTGCTGTCTGCTGCTGATATAGGGGGAGCGGTACTGCTGCAGCAGGAAGAAACAGCAGCAGCAGCAGCAACAGCAGCAGCAACTGCAGCAACGAAAACAGGTCTAACTGCTGCAGCAGCAGCAGGTCCTAGCTGCTGCTACTTGCATGCATCTGCTGCTAGTGAAGCCGATCCCGCTTCATCATCATCATCTGCAGCAGCAGCAGCAGCAGCAGCAGCAACAGAAACAGCAGCAGCAGCAGCAGCAGCAGATGGTCCTGTCTGCAATGGGTCTAGGGGCCCCCTGTATATAACAACTTTTGCTGCTCTCTCGGGGGGCCCCTCTTCTCCGCTGCTGCAGCAGCTGAGGAGACAGCACCCTTCTCTGTCTCTTCTTATTGTGGATTCTCGCTGCCGCCGGCAGTGCGCCTGGCTGCAGCAGCAGCAGCAGCAGCGGCAGCAGCAGCAGGTGGAGGAGGAGGAGGAAGAGCAGCAGCAGCAGCAGCAGCAGCAGCAGCAGCAGGAAAGGGGCTCCAGCTGCTGCAGCGCGCTGCACTCAGCTGCTTCTGTTTCTTATGCTGTTATGGCAGCAGCAGATTGCTGCTGGGCCTCAAAGACAAAAGGAGACAGTTGCTGCAGCAGCGGAAAGGAGACAGGGGAAAAGGAGACAGCTGCTGCAGCAACGGAGACAGCAGCAACAAAGGAGACAGCTGCAGCAACGAGAGGGGGGTCTCTAAGGAAACTGATCCTAACAGAGTGAGCTGCAGCTCTGCTGCTGCTGCTGCTGCTGCTGTTGTTGCTGCTGCTGCTGTTGTTGCTGCTGCTGCTGCTGTTGCTGCTGCTGCTGCT